AGCGACGCCACCCTCGAGGGCTTCAATCAACACAAGCTCATTTCACGTACTGTGGCAGTCTCAATCGACCTGTCACGCGCTTTCGAATGCGTTCGCTATGATCAGCTCCTGCAGGACTTGATCTCCCTGAACATCCCGATTGGCCTGGTCCGACTGTTTGTGGCGTGTATCTGTGGCCGCCACGATCGTGTTCTTTTTCGCGGCGCTCTCTCTAAGCCCTGTAAACAGATCTGCAGCGTTCCTCAAGGCCCTGTGTTCAGTCCGACGGTTTTCAAAATCTACATGCGAGAGCTCCCACTCCCTCGGGCACCTGCGAAGTGGTATCATACGCGGATTATGTTACCTTCTTTTGTCGGCACCATCACTTTAATTAGGCGGCGCAGCTCCTCTCGGAATTCATGCCTGATGTCGTAAACTTCCTCATCCAGCGTGGGATGACGATCTCGGCAGCCAAGTCGTCCGTCGCTGTTTTCACGCTCGACCCGAAGGAGTTCAATCCTCACCCAGCCATCATCGTCAACGCTTGTCTGTAAGCCCAAGCTCCTTGGCGTCCATTTTGATCCGCTTTTCACGTTCGTGAACCATGCCAGGGAGGTCGCAGACAAAATGAGCCGCTTTACCAAGGTCCGCAAGGCTCTAGTGGGCACATTCTAAGGCTGCGTGAAAGGGACTTTGGCGACCACATCAAAAGCGCTGGCCAAGCCGCACCTCATTTAGGTGGTACCAATCTGGTCTCCTACGATCACCACTTCTAGCCTCCGCCGCCTTAAATTAGCACAGAACGCTGCCCTCCGACCAATCACGGGTTGCTATAAAATGTCGCGTATCGATCATCTTCATGCAGAGGCCTCTATCCTGCAGGTCGCCCCTCACAACGCACTCTTAGGCCAACACTCTTCGTGGACTTGTTTGCAACTCGGTCATCCTAATCACCACCCTTGTCACGATCCTGAACCCAGCCGCAGTGCCGGCCGTATATTAGAGCTCTCCACAAGGAAGCTGTTGTCTCTTGTCTCTCGGATCTACTCGTTGATGACTCCGCCCTCATGAAAGGCTTCCGCCGTCTTAATCAGAGAACCGTTGTCGAATAAAAACT